TCATTTAGATTTATAAGCTTTTAAACAAAGAAAACTTGTATAATTTAAGACGATAAAATCTTTTACAAAAAAGAACTTTCACAATTGCTAGATTAGCACAATATTTTTATCAGTCAAAAGGTAGATATATTGCCAAAAAATTCAAGTATACCCTAACTGAAAAAATTCCTTAGTTCCTTATTTGACAAGCAATCTGTTCCTGTGGTTTGAAAAGTAGGCCTTCTTATAAAGCGTTACGCTGTTAGTGTGCTACTCTGCTAAATCTTTGAAACGAAAATAACTTGAATATTATGGTAGTATTTTTTTTTTTTTTTGAGAAATCTCTGGCTAATCTAATTTAGTTTGTTTCAGATCAGGATCTATAATACCAATTCCATTGGGATTGATGTAGATATTGACAAATCTTTTGGAACTAGATGGCTTGTAAATCACTTTGCTAGATTTCGATTTTCAATATCCTCTGATGAGGTGCAATTTTTTAAGTTACCTATTGCAGTTAAAAGAATAAATGTTGCGCAAAGAAAAGACCCAAAGTTCCTACATTGAGTGGCTGACAATGTAGATCACAGTATTTACATATTAACTGGAAAAGGAACATTTCATAGAATGGGCTTAATATCAATATGTTCTTCTTCTAAATGCAATTATCAAAGCATACCATGGTTGAAGCACAAGTTAACTACAAATTTATCTGATATGTCCTTAAAGATATTGCTTTCTCATGGATCAAGCTATCAGGGTTTATTAAAGATAAGTTTAAGGCCAATAAAAGAGATTTTATCTGAAATATTTCAGGCGCCCTAAATGAATCTTGATCTAATATACTAAGTGACCTGGTTTTTTACTTTAAATAGAATAGTTAAAATAGTTGCTTTTTTCCTATACCAACAGACAAGGATGTAGTACCATCCAATATACTTAAAGTGATTCACTATAATTGTAAAACCTTGTCAAGAAATATGTGCATAATTAATATTTGTTCTTGCAGTAAAAGCGAATTAAATGTGTCTTCATACAGTGGATGCCATGGTCAAGACTGCAACAATAAAATCGTAATTTTTTTTTTTGATATATTTATATTTAAAAGTTTGTGGCTTTTTTAGATACCAATGTCTTTTAGGACTTAGAAATTGAAGAAGATTCAAGTGATGAAACTGAAAATGAGAGAAACATATTTGAAGATTTGTTTTGAGTAAAAATTTGCTAATAATAATAAATAATAATAAATGCTAAAGATATATGAGATATACTTATCGGGCATTGTACTTTTTTAAAAAATTTATATTTGAGTCAAAAAATTATTCTAAAATAATATATTTCTTTTCACATTTAAGCTTTTTATCCTCTTCATATAGATGCTATATTTTTATATATCAGCTTGATATAAGCTATATATTTATGTATCAGCTTTTTTACAGAAGAAAAAAAGTATAGCAAATAAATAGTGGAAAAAAACTATTACTATACAAAAAAACTATTACTACACAACACTTTACCAAGGAGGAGCATTGTTGCTATTGTAGTTACACCTTTCTTTCAACTTTTTATCTCAAACCTGAAAAAACAAGGCCACTGTACAGACTAAAAAGTCTAATGGTTAAAAATGTCCTGTAAACAAATTAACTGTTAGTATGCTTTTAAAGTTTTCAACAATACATCAATTGCAAATTAGTCAATTCAACACAAATAAAAAGCTATTTGCTCAGTTAACACAAATCCATACATTTTAATGCTACAAGTTTAAAGCTCTCACATTTGGAATAAAATTAAAAAAAAAACAATGTTTCTGATTATTATTATGCCACTCCTATTATTATTTTGTAATTGCAAATCACAAATTATTAATCACAAGAAAAAAAATCAGTAAATGATCTCAAAAGTTTTGTTCAAATCAAAAAAGTTTTTTTAAAATGAAATTTGTTAGAACTTTTTATATATATAGTTATAGCTGTTTTGAGTGTGAAACTCAAATAAACTTTTTTTTACTCGCTTGATTAACAGCAAAAGCAACATATCAAGTAATTTCACTATAACTGATACTTGAAAATAAACTGAAGTTCTTTAATATACTATGCCTTGTTGATATATATGTTATTTAACTAAACTAATTAAAATAAAATTAAAAAATTAATGATTATGAAGTTTTAGCTGTGCCTAACTGACTAAATGACAAATACTATCAAGCATGAAATAAAAAACTAAGTTACCTCTTTTGAATCTTCTTTATTTTGCTTAAGTTGTTGAACACTTTTTATTTGTAAACTATCCAGTTCAGGAACTGGTTTTTTGTCAAGAGCTGCAACTAATCTGGAAATAGCTTCTTGAAGATCTTGAAAAGTGACTATAGGTGTTGCAGTTGTAGCTATGTTGTTTGAAACTTCTGAATTACTACTTAAATGATTAGCCTTTGGATTGTTTGACATTAATTGGTCAACATTTGATTGTACATTAGTATTTTTGCTAGCCAAAATGCTAGTGTTTAGTTGTGTAGGAGGGTTAATTTCAGGAACATTTTCTTCTGGTCTATTACCTTATAATTAAAAAGTATAAATATAAATAATAAGGATATAGATATATATAAAAAATGAAAAGTTTTTTTTTGAAAAAAAAAGCATTCCAAAAATGAAAATAATATTGGAATTCAACCAAGGCAATATTTGAAGTCAACAAATTGTGAAAAAAATGGCTGCAAAAAAAAAAGTTAAAAAAAAAAAAAAAAAAAAAAAAAGATAAAAGCTAGAAAAGTAATTTTTTTAGAAAATATTCAAAAATGTTGGGTAATCATAAAATTGCGCGAAATATTGTTAAAGTAAAACAAAAGGCATTCATTAAGTACATACCTAGTAAAACCGCTGATTTAGGAACCCCTTATACGTATCTGTATACTTTTAACAACCCCCTCCCCTTCCTCTGCGTACATATCCATCAATTATTACAAAACCACCCATACCTTACCCTCCAAAAAATCAGGTTTTAGGAGAGATAGAAAACAAGAGATAGTCAAACTATGTATTGGCTGTCTTTAACACATACCCGGAATGCTTGTCAACACACACGCCTGAACCCTTGTATGCATTTGTTTGTTTTTGTACAGCACACAGAACAGAAAAATGCAAATTTTAGTTAAAAGATAAATAAACTTTAATCTTTAATAAACATTTATTTATAATTAAAGGTTTTAAGGAAGTTACAGGATCACACTATGTATCACTGAGTCACAATAATTGTTAAAATGCAATTCACACATGGTCACAAAAGTCTAGCTAGATGTTACTTGTATAATTCATGTAATTATTTTTATGAAAATAAATTACTTGCGAGTGTTATAAACAAAAGACTATTCCCTACAACTCATAAATTTTCAATAAGAAATAGTCATCAAATATTGCTAGGTATAGCATAGTGTTTAGAAAATCATCATATATTTTTTAAACTATTGTGATATTAACACAAAAATATAAAATAATAGAAGATATTTTTGTTATAAGTGTTTTTTAAGATAATGATACATGAATCCCAGCTTTTAAGTATAAAATCCCAGCTTTTAAGTATCAAATCCCAGCTTTTAAGTATAAAATCAAAGAAAAAAATCATGTTCCATTTCTTTGTTTTTAAAAATAACAAAATCAAGTACACTTTATGTGAAAATCATTGAATTTAGAAGACCTGATAAAGTTTAAAAACAAAAAAATGTGTGCGTGTGCAAAAAATAAACATATACATTTCTATCAATCACTTACATATGAAAACTTTATATATTTTATATAATTTGAGTTCAATAACATAACTCTTTAAAGAATAATTCATTTAGAATTAACATTAATAATATTCATTCAAAATCATACAAATATATAACTTATTATATGTTTGTAATAAACTTATTATTACAAAATAAAATTATAATAAAATTATTTACTATATGAAGTGAAATTTTTGAACTTTTTAAAATTTTGTCTAAACTGATATTGAGATTTTTCACCGGAAGATGATTAACTGATTACTAGTAACTACATAAAGCGCATGAAAATAATTCAATTTTATTTTTATAATTAACCACTAATGAGTAATAAATTACAGCATTTTAGAATCAGGGAACCATTGACCTGGGTAACTATATATTAGAAGACTAAATATATGAACTTTTATTTTGCAACAAATTTTTCTACATTTTTAAATTACTCATCTCCTATCAGACCTTACTGTTAAATTTTGTAGAGAGGTCATTTTTAAAAAATGAGGCAGTTTAGAATACCAAATATTGTTCTTGATACATGAAACAAAACTCAAAAATTTAAAAAACAATATATATACAGGCTTGGCCAGGAAGGTGTGCGATTTTACGTCATTATATGACCACGCAATTAATATTTGATTTTGAAAACTTGACCGCGGCTGTTAATATGTTTTGAAAATTTGTATACATTTTAAAAACATGCTGAAAAATTAAGTTAACTGTGAAGAAACTTAAAAGAAAACTTATCGTAAAAAAAGCCAACAAATTTTGTAAAAAAAACTTAAATAACTTAACTAAAATAAAAATCAAAAAAAATTAAAACTAAAACTTAACTAAAATAAATAATAAACTATAACGATAAAATTATCTAAATTATTAAATAATAACAAAATATTTTTATAATATAATATTATCCGAAATCTTTTTTAAATTTAACAACTTACTTCTAATGATTGTTTAATGAATGCGCACATTTAAAAGTTAAAAAAAAGATTCTTAACAGCTCTTCGCAGTAACGTAAACAAAAGAAAAAATAAATCATTTATTTAAAAAGTTGACGAAGCTTTTTATTTAAAGACATTTATAATAAATATTACATACTTAAATAAATATAAAAAAATTTATATATTATTCATTAATATCTTTATAAAAAATCATCATCAAAGTTTAATTCAAACAGCTTTCAAAAAAGCTTATATATATTTTTTTTTCTCAGCCAAATTTTTCCACTTTTGGAGCTAATTAACTTTAATGATTTGTATATAAA